AGGACTCTGTTATATTCAGATATTAGGAGGATCTATTGTCAGAAATGGAACATAATATTCATAGGTAAGTTTTAATTAGTGTGTAATCACCTGAATATAGGAATCAGTGTGTTTTTGTTACCTCAGAATGAGCTGTTATTATCTTCAGATGGCACCTGTCTCCTTTATTGGGGCCTCCATGTTGAACCGCCATGTTTCTACACCTCTTTAAAAAGCTAAAGCTTTTGAATAATTTACTATGAAAACATGCTGACATACAGTATCCCCAATGTGTCCCTGTCTCTCACTTTCTCCTTTTGTCTCTTCTCACACACTCATTCTTGTTTTCTTTCCAAACAACTTTCTCTCATACATTCCAAGCTCTCTGGGCATCTGTCATACCTAACAACCACTTACTTAATGCATTAAATCATGCTCAGATCACCACAAAGCTGTATATTGTGTGTATACACACATCCGTATGTGTGAATCTGCTTTAGTTCCTGTAGGTGTAATCCATTCCTGCTCCCTGCAGCCTCTCTGATAGGATGGGCTGCAGGAAGAGCTTATTTATATCTCAACTGACACACTACCCTATCGACCACTCTACAGTAGATGGTTGGTTTCAATGCTGTCTAGCCTGCTCTTTTAAATGTTAATGAATCCACTTTTGTACTACAGCGTTGTGTCGTTACACCCGATGGAACCTGAAGTATTTACTTTAATGAGAAACAGTGCCTTCACAGGTACTTGGGCTAATGTTTTGAAGATATCTTTGTGGTTTAATGCTGCTTAAAATATTTGAGACAGTTTTTATGGTTCAGTGTATGTTTAAAGTAGCTCTGGTTGTGGAGGTGTTCACTTTCAGATGGTAAGAGATGTGTTTTTGTGTTGAAGAGTGCGTCTCTGACCTGTCTGGATGGTTCTACACCAGTGACAGCAGTCAAATATCTCACACCAGGATTCTTTTACCTTACAAATTTTGTGCATTTTAGCCTTCCTTGTTAAGAGAGAGATTGATTATTAGAGAGAGAAACAAAAAGTTGAGCCAGGTTCAAAACTTGTGCCAGACAAACTTGGGCTCTTTGTCAGAGCCCTGTGCATTTGGATCCCTGCTATTTCCATGCAGTGACCTATATAAAATAAATTAAGCTGCGTTTTTTACATGATGTCTGTCTGAAGCTGTTCAAATTGTGCATACATTGAACCACAACTGTCTTTGATGTCAGCTATACAACAAACCCGTATCATCTTTGTGGTTACCAAAGCAAGGTCTCCTGGTAAATTTCTCTTACTGGCTGTTCAGATTCAGTCAGTTATTGTGAACATGAAAGAGGTTTCAAGTAAATAAGGCAGATCTGATGAGTCTTGCAGCTTGGGATGCTTCCAGTTAATCTATGAACCACTCTCATTATCAGATATTTGATACAGACAGACCCAGTCCAATGACCTGATTTCTCCTTTTGATTATTGTGATAGGTGAATTGGGGACAGTGAGTTTAAACTTCCTGTTATCTGAACACTTCCTTTGCAAAAACAGCCATTCAAAGGACTCAAATTCCAGTGTAATAATTGAAGATATAGCTGCACAATGTGATTTGGGTCCCTGATATTTGGATGCTTAGGGATGACTCTAATTTTGTGTATGCGTAAAAAAAGGTTTGAAAATGTCTTGGATCATACCATATATGCTGTGCTTTTACCTAATCTTGGTGCTCCCCTCTGCAGGTTGAACGTGAGAAAGCAGCACTGATGACCAGCCTGCAGGAGTCCCAGACTCAGCTCCAACACACCCAGGGGGCCCTAACTGAGCAGCATGAGAAGGCCCTCCGTCTTAGCCAGAAAGTCATTGTCCTCCGCCGCTTACATAGACGGGCTCACCCTAACCAGGAAGCCCACACCAGTGCCACCTTTCAGCTCAACCATGAGGCCCTGATGGAGCTGGACAGGTATGAGGAAGAGGCTGAAGAGGAAGGAAGAACTGAGGAGGATAAGAGTGAGACACTGAACAAAAGTCAGGTATTTGCATATCAGACGCCAGGTCTGGAGATCATGCAGTGCAAGTACCGTGTGGCTGTGACAGAGGTGGTGGAGCTCAAGGCAGAGGTGAGAGCCCTCCATGACCGACTGGCTCAGTGTGCAGCGGGAGCATCGGAGGAGAAGCCAAGGCGAAATGGTCAGCTCCTGAAGCTGGAAAGGCAGGTCGCCTCATTAGAGAAGAGTTGCAGGGAGGGACAGGATAAGGTAACAATGACATACTGACTGTGTCTGTTTGAACAGAATGAGAGATGGTTACAGAGATAAAGGATTTCCTCTCTTCTTCTTTCAGATGTCTAGCCTGGAGTTGGAGTTGCAGGCAGCTCAGTCAGCAGCCAGTGAGAGCCAAGGGGCGTTGAACGCAGCTCAGGATGAGTTGGTGACGCTGAGCGAGGAGCTTGCCCAGCTGTACCACCACGTCTGTCTGTGCAACAATGAGACGCCCAACCGTGTCATGCTGGACTACTACAGGTCTGACGGTTGATATATTACCAGGAACAAGCAACATCAAAAGATGCTTTCCAAATTACAGTGATTGAGGCCCAATTTGCGGAGCCTGCATTACAGGGAGGGCAGCTTCAAAACAAAATGCGATATGAGATCAAAATAAAACCTTCTGGGCTAGCTAAGCTTGAAAGGCCTCCTTGTGGAACTGTTCCACTTGTTGGGGGCTGTGGCTTAGAGGTAGAGCGGGTCATCCACTAATCAGAAGGTTGTTGGTTTGATCCCCGGCTCCTCCCCGCTGCATGTTGAAATATCCTTGAGCAAGATACTGAACCCCAAATTTGCACGCGTTGCTGCATCATCGGTGTGTGAATGTG